TATATATAAAAATGTCTCATAATTTGTGCAAAAGGCTGTATACTGATTATAATATAGATTGCTAGCTATATCAGTCAATTTGTCATTTCACTTGATAGTTGGAGTCGGGATTACACAGGAGATACATACATATCGGAAGCTCTCGTGAAAGCTGGTGACTCTTTTTTCAAGGATGGGACCAAGGGTAATCGGAAAAAATATAAAGATATTGCTATTGTTTTTACCGATGGTGTAAGCAATAGTAAAGTGGAACCTGGCCTTGACAGTGAAAATATGAAGGTCGGTAAGCCATAGTTAATCTACTCATGTTTGGTCTTCACACTGCGCGAGAGCACAAATGTTAGTGCATACCCAACGTCATAACAGAGCCCGTGCTTTTGCAATCCAGCGTGATTGCGCTATTTTTCGATTCGTGATTGGCTGAAAATGACGGTTTATAAAATTGCCAGTGCGCGCCCGCCTCTTTAGTAAAAAAAAAMCATCCTATTCTCGCATAATCAAAGATATTTTCACACAATTTTTCTTTTAAAAATATGTATCTACCGTTCCTTAAATAAATTATTTGCAAAATCTCTTCTTTTATTTTCATTTTAATGTCTTAAAGCGGAAAACAAAATTGACCTAATTTATATAACTTGCGACGGAAAAGCGTCGCAAATCATTGATTTCTCCAGGGTCTTTACGGCGTCAGCATACTGCTGAATTTAGCGGCAAATTCATTAGTCTCGAGATTAGTGCACACAAAAACAAACTTAGGAAAAAAAACAGAAAAACCCTAGCTCTCACGTTTTTAGCCAATTTATAGCCTTAACTTATGACTATAAGTGCTTTTTTTGACACACCTATAAAAAWAAGATGAAACTGGATAATTACCACCGAAGGTTGGATGATCAAGTAGGGGGAGGGGGGGTGGCAGAAATGTTTGTAACTTGGAGCATTGGAAAAGCGATATTCTGCAGCATTTTCGTATTCTTCAAGAACATAGTTTATGCAATGCCATCAACTAAAGAATTACCTCACACTTGTAAAAATTAATACAGAAGAATGACAATAATTTTGTTTATATGATTCGATGTTGAGTTGACAAAAATAAACAGCCTCAGCCTCTTTTACTGGTTTATTTACTTCTAAATAGATGCACATACAAAATGTACACAATGCATGAAATTGAAATTTTACACGTGCGCCTTCCGATACACCGTATCACAGGAGGAGCCGACGGGGTCGATTTGTTCTTCTAAATAACTATTCTTGTACGAATTCGTTCCTGGAAAAGGGATTTTGAGCTACATTTGAGCTACCCTCCCTCCCAAGCATAAAAAAATAAAATAAATGATAAATGAAATAAAAAGAAAACGCATCCGTACAATGAATTTTTATTAAAAACATTCAGGCTACATTTGCTACAGTTCGAGAGTCACAGTAAAAAAGTTCGTTTTAGGAAAATGCGAAAACAAAGTGGAACCCCAATTTTAAAAATCCTGGCTGTTGTGACTTACAGCTGGCTGGGATAAAAGAACAGATATATATATTTCTCCAATGAGCCCGTCGGCTTCTCCTAATATCATACTACGTCTACTAAAGAACGAAGATAAGAAAATTAGGACCAAGCACACACAAAAACGTACGGTACAGTCCTACCACTCCTCAATAGACGTTATGACCACGACGGTGAAGTCATGGTGTTTCACTACCTTATAGGGCATTCCTGTAATCGCTGTTGGAATCGGTAAAGACGCAACAGAAATATCTCTGAAGGAAGTAGCACGAGGAAGAAAGGAAAACGTTGTCATGGCGACAGGCTTTAAAGATCTGTCGAACAAACTCGACGAGATTGCAAATAAAGCATGCAAAGGTATTTATAATTGATAATTAATGATATATTGCAATAAATTGTGTAATAAAAGTCCACAGCTGAGATCTCATATCTCTATCCCAAACACTCTTAACTGCTTCGACAAAAAGAGTCTTTCTCAACCGTTTTTGCTTTTCGTGTAGTAAATGAGGTAGTAGTTGTGCCAATGTTACAACAGAGAACAAACATGTTAGGGATATAAAAAGAGGAGAGACTTATGCTAACATGCTGCTTTRTACAAAACAGCGTCGCTCAACATTACATTCCTTATATTTACGACCATCATGTGCAATATCCTCATTGTTCTTTACTTGCACTCAATATGTTTCCTATTTTGCAGCTTCACGTGCACAGCCGTAAGCAACATTGTGGTCTTCTGGMGATTTTAAGATATTAGATGTAATTGATGAAAAAAAAAACACATTAGAAAAAAATGTTTAGCTAATGAAAAAATGAGAGTTCATATCGCACGTCGCTGATAAAAGAACCCGTATACTAATATTTCAATGGTAAATCTATAAATCTACTGTTAGCAGCAAAGAATAAACAAAGTTTATCTCTATAAATCTAGTCTGTTGCAAATATAAACCACCCAACCCATCCCAAGAAAAATACTCCACGCCTTCCTGGCGAAAGAATAAATGACAGGTTTACTAGCCAGCATATTCTAAACGGTGAACTTAGGCAGTTCAGACTACATCCCAAAAAAAGGAAACATCGTGACTTCATCGTCTTTGAGATTATGCAATTGTTTTAGGAATTGAAGATTTTGACTTCTATGCGAAATTGTTAAAGATCCACCACATGATAACGACGATGAATTAAAATACATTCAAGCCTGCCCAGTATTTGATAAGAATGGACGTGAAATGTTTTGTTCTGGTTTGTTGTTATGTTGAATGGTGAATACTCCAGTTTCGAATTCTCCATTGCTCTATGTTAGCCTCATTTGTGCGCAAAATATTCCTAATTGTGAGAATAAAAGTGTGAGATTTTCAATCAATTCTATTGTCTTTCTTCACAAAATTCCATGCGTTTTCTCGAGCTATCTATGGAACAAAAGAATATGTTACTTGGTTTTGAGACTAACACAGAGCAAAACAGAACTCGAAATTGGAGTATTCGAACCCGGTTTCTTTCAAAGGTAAACTGTCATTTCTCCCTCAAAAAAATAATCTTCATAAAAAAATATCTCATGGATGATTTGGGATTATTATCTTCCTCAGTTTAATGAAGGTTTCAGGTCTTTCAGTGAGATTTCTGTAAAAAGAAATGTTCAGTCAAAACCACCAAAGAAATTATTTTTTTACAGATGCATATCTTTTTTCCCTCTGTGATGACCAACTTCTGTGATCATTTAAAACCACAGGTAACCCAGACTCAATAACTTAGTAYWRAAAAWWAAMYTWA